CCTCCTCCTCCTCCTCCTCCTCCCGCGACTTTCTCTTGGCTAATCACGATTATCATCTTCGTTGCCTGTCCTAGTAGACTTGCAGCATTTGTCTCAACCTTGCTATCTCGTCCCTACAAATCTCCATCTCCTCCTCCTCCTCCGAATGGTCCTCCTCCTCCTCCCTCTTCGTCTCCTCCTCCATCTTCGTCTCCTCCTCCCTCATCGTCTCCTCCTCCCTCCTCGCCTCCTCCTCCCTCCTCGCCTCCTCCTCCCTCCTCGCCTCCTCCTCCCTTCGCAGCTTCTCTTCCTCTTCACGTCTCTTTGTTGCCTTCGCATCCTCCCACAACTCAAACAGCCTGTGAGACACCCGACCGACTTCTTCCTCCTGCTGGCCAGTTAAGACCATGCGCGGTAAATCAGGAGGAGGAGGAGGAGGAGGAGGACGAGGAGGACGAGGACGAGGACGAGGACGAGGAGGAGGAGGAGGAGGAGGAGGACGAGGTGGAGGTGGAGGACGAGGACAAGGAGCAGAACCAACAAGGAAAGGCAGCAGGATCTGCACAAGGAGAAAGAGGAGAAGGAGAAGGAGCAGAGAGATCACCGCTTCATGGATTCGCTCGTCGATTAGCTTGATCTTCTGCCTCGTCGATTGGTCCTGTTGTTTCAACTCGTCACATGCAACGGAGGAGGAGGAGGAGGAGAAAGTGATGGTGGTGGAGGAGGAGGAGAACAAGGAGGAGAAAGGAGGAAGAAGAGAAGTGAGGGGGGAGGGAGGGGAAGGGGGAGCGGTGAATGGAGTTGTGATGGTGGTTGAGGAGGACGAAGGGAAGGGAGAAGACGAGGAGGACAAGGGTGTGATGGAGCAGCTGGTGGTGGTAACGCTCTAGTATCAGGATACCTCCTGAAAGTTTATCTCCTTCCTCGCAACCATTCTCTTCTTTTCCGTCAGCATCTCCTCCATCCCTTCTCTCATGTCCTGTTCTCGTACAGTTAGTACCTCCTCCTCCTTCCCCCCTCCTCCCTCTCTTCCACCTCTCCCTCATCTCCCTCCTTGCCCACCACCATCACCACCAACATCACTCCTCCTCCTCCTCCTCCTCCTCCTCCTTCTCCTCCCCTACCTTGGCATGGGAGCTCAGTCTTTCCGCTTCCTCGCACATCGTCTGGTATTTCTGCTCACAAGTGAGGAGGAGGAGGAGGAGGAGGAGGAGGAGCAGAAGGAGAAAGAGCAGGAGAAGGAGGAGGTGATAAGTTGAGCCTGCTGACCTCAAGCTGACGAGCGTCAGGCACCGGATTCTGAAGCAGCAAGTGAGAAAAGGGAGGGAAGAAGCAGGGAAGAAAAAGGTGCAGGAGAGTTACATGCGGGGAGGCGAGCGGTTGATTTTGCTGTAAGTTTTGTCTTCTCCTTCGCATCTGTTCCAGTCGGTCGAGGAGGAAGAGGCGGGAGGAGGAAGAAGAGGAGACGCCTCGCTCGACGTGCTCGACGTGGCCGAGGGACAAGTTCCCAGCAGCACAGAGGTCGCTTGCTACTCTGATGAAGATGGTTCGATCCTCGTCCGGGAGAGGGGGGGGCTGATAGTCGTCCGGGGAGAAGCAGGAGACGTCTAGATGCGAGTTAGTTTGTTGTTGCTGCTGCTGCTGCTGCTGCTGCTGCTGCTGCTGCTGCTGCAATGTGCTGCTCTCTTGAAAGATGCTGGTCAAGAGATCGAGGTCCTTCATGATGGAAGTGCCCCAGACGTTGGAGGAGGAGGCGTTGGAGGGAGAGTATGATGACGATGACTGGGTGAGATTGATTCAGATGCGAAGAGAAGAGCGGTTAAGGAAAGGAGGAGGAGGAGATGAAGAGTGGAGGAGGAAAGGAAAGAAGAGGAGGAGAGGAGAGGAGAGGAGAGGAGAACAACTTCTATCCTTTGAGGCCCCTAGGGAGGGACACAGAACAAACAGGCCCAACAACAAATCATCAGGTGTAGCAAACAATCATCTCCTCTACCCTCTCTCGTCACATGCAACGGAGGAGGAGGAGGAGGAGGAGGACGACGACGACGACGAGCAGGAGCAGGAGCAGGAGCAGGAGCAGCAGCAGCAGCAGCAGCAGGAGCAGCAGCAGCAGCAGCAGCAGGAGCAGCAGCAGGAGCAGCAGCAGGAGCAGCAGCAGG